GGGAAACGAAAATACAAAACACGGCATTTGGAGGGTACTAACGAAGTGGCTCAACCATCTCGTGAGTTTACTTCTAAAGTAAAGGAAGGTCATTGCCAAAAATCTTCATCAAAATTGGGTGGAAATTATAAAAATGAGAGTGATAGTTTTTCAGATAGCCGATCATCAGACAGAGAGACAAAACACAAGAAGAGGAAAAGGAGGACCCGGAGCCTAAGTGTAGAGATAATTTATGAAGGGAAAGCTACTGATACAAATAGACATCATAAAAAGAAAAAGAAGAAGCATAAGAAGAAGCATAAGAAACACCATGGAGATAATGCTTCACATTCCCCAGTTGTAATTACCATTGACAGTGATAGTGATAAGGATTCTGAAGTAAAGGAGGATACAGAATGTGACAATAGTGGTCCTCAAGACCCTCTACAAAGTGAATTTTTGGCTCCTTTGGAAACATTTGAAACTGAAGATATAGTTACAATAGAAGATGAAGTCAGTGTTCTGGACAAAGAGTGTGATATTACCACTCTTAATGACTTAAATAATGCCAACAAAACTGTAGATAATATTCCACTCCAGCCAGCTTCACTTGAACAAACTCTCGATGTAAGAGAAGAGAGCACCTTTGCTGCTGATTTGGAGAACCAGCCCAGAAATGTGTCTATTCACACTGAGTCAACAAGGCAATTGTCATCTCCACGGAAATCATTAATGCCAGTATGTCTTGGTGGAGACTGTGATATATCTTAAAACTGCCAAAGCACCTCATTGAGAATTCTGATGCTATAAAAAGAAGAAAAAGGAAAAATGTCATCTATTGCAATCTATATAAAGATGAGTTTTGGTGAAAACTTTTCCCCCTTAAAAATATTTTGTGATTTATTTTTTTTTATGTGTTGAAAATTTGTAAAAATTATTTGTTCAAAAAGTATGTCGCACCCTCAAATATGCACTTTTAAGTGAAGAAATTGTTATTGCTAGCAGTTTATTTAAAACTTGGGATCCTTTTTAAATAAAAATATATAATTTTAGAAGTTATTTCATAAAGCCATATGGTATTGACATTTTTAAAGTAGAGTATTTTTGAATTTTTTTTTTCTGAGAGTTATTCTGGAAGTGTGTTATAAACTAAGAGAATCTGTTTAGATAGTCTTTATTTTTCTTCTTAAAAATTTGTATGATTCCAAACCATTATTTAAGATTAAATTGAGACATTTAATCTGCACAGTTTATCCTCTGCCAAAAGAATAGTTTAAATATTTCTTTTATATACTTGTTTATCTGATCTGCCAGTAAAAAAGTGTATAATCAACAAAAGAAAAAAATAAACAGTAACACTTTAAAATGTAGAAATTTTCCTATATAGTGAGTGGCTGATAAATTTTTAAGTCAAACTATTTTACTGAAAAATAATTAAGGATATACTTGTGTTATAAATTCTGAATTTCAGGTGAGGTGCATTTCACAATTTTATTTTAGTTATTTAACCTGATTGTGAAAAGTATATTATTTGCCTTCTACAGAAAAATGCAGTTATGTGGCATTTAGCTTACTAAAAAACAAACAAAAACCCTTGCCAGACTTTTACATTGGTAGTTCTTTTACACAAAGTGACTGTGTTTATGTTTTATCCAGTTTTAGAGATAAAAATTGCTCTACATCTATAGTGTGAATGTAGGATTGCCAGTGAACAGCAGAACTTGGATTAAATCTAAATTTAGCCTTCAAATTTACCTTGCTGCCATGTTCATTGTTAACAAAAATTGGAATACTTGCTGTGTGATGGGTTCTGTACTAGGGATTCAGTGATAGAACAAAACAGACGACATATAACTAAGTTCTCTGGTGAGAAAGTATAATTTGCTCTAAAAGCATACAATAGGGCTCTACTCTCAGGTGGAAGTGATGATTGAACTGAAATCCAGTAAATAGGTAGACATGGAGTTGTTATGAAAGGAAAAGATGTGCAAAGGTCCAAAGGCGGAAGGGAAGCCTGAAGTAGTCCAAGACTGGGTTAGCTAAAGGACAAAGACTTTGGGGCCAAGCTTTGTAGTCCATGTTTAGAGTTTGTGTTTATCTTAAGGGCAGTAGGAAACTGGTTTAAAATGACAAGAATCTAACATTGATTTGACAATTTTTAATAAGTTCAGAAATTGATGACAAATTATGGGAAGACTAGTTGACCAAGGACTATATTTTAAAATTATAAAATGTAGTTTTTCTTAAGTATTCCAAACTTAATGCTATTTTATTCCACATTCTGATTTTACATGATGTTTTCAGTTAAACACAATGAAACCCCATCTTAATACATGGTACCATCACACCCCTAAATGTTATGCATTCAATAACAGCTATCAGATTATGGTGCAAAAACCAATAGGACGAAAGGGACAAATGGACAAATAAATATCCATAGTTGGAGATTTTAACACCCCCTGTCAGTACTTGACAGAACAAGTAGACAGAAAGTAAGTATTAATGTAGGAGACTAGAGCCAACTGTAACTTAACCTAATTGATATTTATAAAGCTATACCCAAGAACTGCAACATAAATATTCTTAAATGATGATCCAGTCTATATGCTGGGCTATAAAACCAAGTTTCAATAAATTTCAAAAGATCAAAGTCTTAAAACATAATGAACATCTCAACACTAAAATCAGAAGTCAATAACCCTCAAATGTTTAGGAAATTCCCAATATTTGAAAAATAAACACACTTCTATAATTAACTCATAGGTTAAAGAAGAAATCACAGGAATAATATACACTAAAAAGGAATGACATTGAAAACAGCATAATATCAAGAGATGGGGATGCTAGAACTCAGCTGAGAAGGGAAATTTATAGCCTCAAATACTTACATTGGAAAGAAAAATGTATAAAATTGGTAATCTAAACTTACACCTTAACAAACTAGTAAAAGCAAATTAAACCCAAAGGAAGTAAGAGAAAAGAATAATGATTAGAAATGTATTAAATAGAAAACAAAATAATTTTTTTAAAATATCAAAGTTGATTTTTTGAAAAAAAATTTATTAAATTCTTGGCAACACTGATTTTTTGATCAGTAGGAATATTAAAAATATGCCAATCTAATAATTTAGAGGAAATGGTCAAATTCCTTAAAAAGCACAACTTACCAAAACTGACTTGATAAAATTTAAAATCAGAATTGCTGTATATCTAGTAAAGAAATTGAATCAAGGTATTTTCAAAGAAAACTCCAAGCCAAATAGTTTCGTTGTGAATTCTCTTAAACATTTAAGAAGTATTGGTACCAACCTTACACAAACTCTTGACCAGCATAATCCTTACATTATAAGAAAAATAGACCAATATCTCTTAACACACAAAAAAAAGCTAATTGAATTAAAAATGCTATATCATGACCAAATGGGATTTATCCCAGAGATTAGGTTGGTTTAATATTTTTTTTTAAATCAATGAAATTCGCCCTGGCTGGTTTGGCTCAGTGGATAGAGCATCGGCCTGAGGACTGAAGGGTCCCAGGTTCGATTCCGGTCAAGGGCACATGCCTGGGTTGCAGGCTTAATCCCCAGTGGGGGGCATGCAGGAGGCAGCCTATCAATGATTCTCTCTCATCATTGATGTTTCTGTCTCCCTCTCCCTTCCTCTCTGAAATCAATAAAAATACATTTTTTAAAAATCAATGAAATTCACTTTGTTAATATATGATCACCTCAATTGATGCAAAAAAACAACAACACACATTTGGCCCTAGCCGGTTTGGCTTAGTGGATAGAGCATCAGCCTGCACACTGAAGGGTCCCGTGTTTGATTCGGGTCAAGGGCACATGCCCAGGTTCCAGGCTCCACCCCCATTAAGGAGTGTGCAGGAGGAGGCTGATGGATGATTCTCTCTCATCATTGATGTTTCTATCTCTCCCTCTCTGAAATCAATAAAAATACATTTTAAAAAAAATTGAAAAATTCAACACCCATTTATGCAAAAAGCAGAGTAAACCTGGAATAAATATCAATCTGATAAAGGGCATCTGAGAAAAACCTATGCCCAACATTGTAATTAAAGTGAAACAGATCATTTCCCCGCTGAAATTAGTAATAAGGATGTCACCCCCTCACCACTTTAATTCAACTTGTTATTGGAGGTCATGGGTGGTGTAATAAGGGAGCAAAATACAGGACATAAAGATTGGAAAGGAGCCCTGGCTGGTTTGGCTCAGTGGATAGAGTTGGCCTGCAGACTGAGGGTGCTGGGGTTCGATTCTGGTCAAGGGCACATGCCCGGGTTGCAGACTCAATACCCAGTAGAGGGCGTGCAGGAAGCAGTTGATTACTGATTCTCATTGTTGATATTTCCGTTTCCCTCTCCCTCTCTGAAATCAATAAAATATTTTTTAAAAAATTTAAAAGATTGGAAAGGAAGAAGTAAAAACCATGTATTCACAAGTTACATGACTATTTACCTAGGAAAATTTAAGGAATCTACAGAACAATTCCTAGACCCAATAAGTGAATTTAGCAATGTTGCATAAAACAAGGTCAAAAAAAAACAAAAAAAACTTGTATTTCTATCTACTATCAACAAACAATTTGAAAATGAAACCTTAGAAACAATTCTATTTAGAGTAGCATCAAAGAACATAAAATAGTTAAGGGAGAGAAACATAGATCAGCTACCTCCCTCATGCACCCCAACCCAGTATGTGCCCTGACACCAGGGATCAAACTGGCCACCTTTTGGTATACAGGACAGCACCCCAACCAACTGAACCACACTGGCCAGGGCAAAACCTGTACTGTTGAAACTTAAAATACTACTGAGAGAAAGTATAGAAAACAAATTCATAGATTAGAATTCAATGTTGTTAAAATGTCAATTCTCCCGAAGTTTATCTATAGGTTCAATGCAGTCCTGGTCAAAATCCTAATCACGTGTGTGTGTGTGTGTGTGTGTGTGTGTGTGTGTGTGTGGCAAGCTGGGGAAATTGACATTTATTCTTATGTCATAACAAAATGCAGAGATCCAGTATAATCTTTACAAAGCAGAATAAAGCAGTGTCAGCGCACAAATGGAACTAGAGTTAAAAATACACCTGCATACATACAGTCAATTGATTTTTTTTTTACAAAGGTGCCAAAGCTATTCAATGGGAGCAGAAAAAATTTTCAACAAATGAAATACTTTGTGCTGTAACAATTAGAAGTAAAAAATGAAACATTGACCCCCTACCTCATAGCACAACAAAATTAATTTGAAATTATCATAGACCTAAATGTCAAAGAAATAAAAGACAAAGAATACCTTAATGACCTAGGAGTAGGCAAAGATTTATTAGAAGACACAAAAAGCAGTACACAGAGAAAAAACTGGTTTGGATTTCACCAAAACAAACTTTTGCTCAAGACACCTTTAAGAAAATTAAACGGTAAATCACAGACTAGGAGAAGACATTTGGGATACATATATTTGACAATGGGCTTGTTTCCAGAATAAATAAATAAACCTGTAAATCCATAATACAAACAAAAACCACTCAGGCAAAACCGAGGAGCAAATGCTTCACACACCAAAAAAAAAAAAAAGATAAGTGGCCAATAAGTACATGAGAATGTGCCCAACATCATTAATTATCGAGGAGTTAAAAATTAGAACCACAATACACCAAGTTACATAAACAAGAAAACTGGCCAGGGTGTGTATTTACTGGGTGTGTATCTAGTTCCTTCCTGTTACTCTACGGGTGGGAATGCAAGTGGTAAGGATCTGGGAAAACAGGTGGCAGTTTCCTGTGAAGTTAAACATACGCCCACACAACCCGGGGGAAGCGGTTCCACTGTAAACGTTTTTGAAAACTCAGAATTGTACCCTTCAAATCTGTGCACTTTATTTAATCTAAACTTTACCCCTATATTAGCAAAACAAAAAAATAAGATAAAATGAGAATCAAAAAAGCAATCCCCTCGGGTCCCCACAGGTGGGAAAAGCAGGGAGCTGGAGAGGAAAGGGAAACCGCGTGGGGAAGGCGGAGCGGGGAGGCTGCGCCCTGGTGTTGCCCTGCCCCTCTCCGCTAGTTGCGGTTTCGATTTCCCCGGCAGCTCTGCCTCTCCCCGCCGGCATCCTGAAAAAGCGCCTCCTGCTCGCTGTGCGCTTTAAAAGTGGGGCGCTGGTGAGGAGGGCCTTTGCGGGAGCCCAGCTGCAGGCATGACGGCCGAGGAGCGGCGGAATCTGCACGCCTTCCGGGACTATGTCACCAAGATTCTGGACCCTACCTACATCCTGAGCTACATGGCCCCCTGGTTTAAGGAGGGTGAGTGGTCGGCAGTGGCGCCCACCCTTAGGACAGGAAACCTGTTCAGGACGTGTTTTCCCATTGATTTTTTTACCCCTTCTTTTAATCAACACGGGTAGCCTGCTGGGAACGCGGGGTTTATGGAAAGATCCCCACAGCATTTCAGATTAGAGCAGTGGTTCCCAACGTGGGGCACACGCCCCCAGGGGGGCAATTTGATTTTGAAGGGGGGCAATTCAAGAATGAGTTATTAACAGTGAAGTTTTTGCATTTCTTGTGGTTCTAAGGGCCTCATATACAGTATATAAATATATATTGTGATATATTTATGCATTCCAGTTTTGAAACTTTATTTGCTATTTTTTCATATCACTTCATATTATTATTATTTTTTTTTAACAATTTCTTCCTCAGTACTTCAACTGCCCTTTTGTTCTTTTATTTTTCTCTTTCATAGATGTCATGTTCTTTGGAAGCTTGTTTAGACCAAGTTAATGGCCTTTTAGGCTTCCTCCACGTGAATAGAAGTTCACTTTTTGAATAATAAGAATTATATGTCACGGGGATGCTTAGGTGGGGCATGACCAAAAAAAGGTTGGGAACCACTGGACTAGTGGTTGTCAGAGTTTGAGGGTGACCTTGAGGACCCAACTGGGGAAACTGAGTCTCAGTGAGGTGAAATGACTTACTTAGGGGTACACATCTATTTAGATTCAAAGCTGAGGAAACAAGTCGCTGTCCATTTATTTCTATTAGTAGTTATGTCTACTGTTTTGTGCTGACATCAGCGATTCAGAAATAAGATACAGGCCCTGCCTTTAAATACTTTACAGCCCACGGTGTTGGGGGTGGGACACGGGTGAGGACAGATGTACACAAATGATTACAAAGCACTCAGAGCTGCAAGAAAGTTCATGCTGACTCTGCAGGTCACTTCCAAAATAACTGAAAATGTGCGAAGGAGACTTGGACTGAATGACTTTAGGCTTTAATTCAAGTGTTTCCATTCAGCTTTTGATGCATATGATGATGGATAATGGCCATTAGGTACATTTGTATTGAAATGCCTTTTTTTTAATATACTTCATGGTATATTTTATTTATTTTTACAGTGAATAATGTTGTTTTTTTACTGATTTTTTTCTTTATTGATTAAGGTATTACATATGTGTCCTTATCCCCCCCATTGTCCTCCCCTCCCCC